ACTTTCAGAAATTTCAGAACAATAGGCCTGAAAAAATTGAGATGAAAGATATGCTTCGAACTCGTACCTCTCAGATTCTAGTCGGGCGCTATTATTAACTGCACTACGAAGCCACAAGCTGACAAATTTTTGTGGTTGTTCGTTCAGACTTTGCATTGTTTTTTATTATTCTTTTCTCAGGAGGGAGAGCGCCGATGGATCGACAAAGTGAACACAGGCAGCTGTACACAATGTCCATGTCTGTGTTTTTCTTCATGTGTGCTATGGCCTCCTTTGGAATTTTCTTAGCATTTACGTTCTTGTGCTTTAACATTAAGAACAGGAATAAAAGGTAGAACAATCTGTTTGATATTTTAAAAAGTCAAAAAATAAAGAGCCGTGGCATCATAGTGTATTGCCACTAGATAATTGTCCATGATCATTTAAAGAATTCTATTTAAGTCCATTTTTTGATTATACATAAAAAATTTCATAAAAATTGATAATGGAATTAAGTCTGTACGAGATCCGTCTCTCGTCTTATTGAATATGTGATGTGAATTTGCTTATTCTGCCATCTAGCAGTTTTTTTGGCCATATTTTTTTCCCAATAAGTCAGAGTATTGTAATGTCCGATTATTATTTTCAATGTTAAATTTTCTCATCTCGACTAGTTTGATAATAAATCATTTGGAAAATAGAATGATACTAATCCATAGGTAGATTACCAGATCAAATAACAGATCTATCTTTGTATCGTTTTATCCAAACATTAATTTTGCGACTGGCAACTGCAAAGATTTCTTAACCAATGAATTTTCATGCCCTGTCATGTCATGTCAACTCGATGTCATGCAATCGCATATTTACATTATGTCATACACCAGAAGAAAGAAGGTTTTTCGCGTTCCCGCCAGTCAACTGTTTCGTTTTCTAATTCTTGTCAGATTTGTCAAAATGTCGAGTCCAAACCTGAACAATATGATAATCTTGGGCTGCATTCTGTCGTACATATCTGTCATTCTGTTTGCATTCGATGGAGAGCATCTTAAGACTGAACTTTGCACGGTAAGTTCCCTTCTGTTCTCCTAGAAAAGATACTTTTAAGTTTGCAACCGCTGATAATGTTACAGATTGAAGTTATCTTCCCTAGAGCTTCATTCTGTAATAAATATTCCAATTCTGATGAAAAGACTAAGACTGTGCAGGTGCCAATACCAGAGAAATTCACACACTTGTGCGGAGAGAGAACTTGATTCGTAGGAAAGGCACTGACTGACTCCGATTCAGTCACTGGATTTGCGCCGCAACTCTATGCGGATCTGGAATCTCACTAGCCAACAATTAGCCTTCTTGTGAATGAAAGTGATCCTCGCAGTAATGTGCACTACTTAGGCAGCAGTGGAAATAAGGCCTGAAAAAAATTCAGGCCTGTAAGGGATTTGAACCCATGACCTCTGCGATACCGGTGCAGCGCTCTACCAACTGAGCTAACAAGCCAACATCATGACCCGCTCTCAGTTGGCTTGTTAGATCAGTTGGTAGAGCGCTGCACCGGTATCGCAGAGGTCATGGGTTCAAATCCCGTACAGGCCTGAATTTTTTTCAGGCCTTATTTCCACTACTGCCTAATATACTGCCTAAGTAGTGCACATTACTGCGAGGATCACTTTCATTCACGTCTTTAT